TTCAACTACATATTTTCCATCACATCAACAGTAAAAATTCAGTTTTACCTTCAAAATGTGCACCAAACGGGGGCTATATATTATTTGTCAAAATTTTCTGTTAAAATTTTTTTTACTTGTTGCATGATTGTACATATACGTACATTCCAGGTCAGTATATATACACACACAGCACCAAGAAAAAACCTGAGAACTCTCATAATGTACTGCAATTATGGCGTTTCACTACCCAGAAGCGATCCCATCCGCCTCTCCTTCCTCCCATCAACCCGACCTGACCCACTTCCCAAAACTATCTCTTTTCCCACCTCCATAGCCTTTCGGGTCGGACACGGTTGAGCCATTAAACTCGTTAAATCCACCGGTAACGATACACATTCTCTCTCCTCGGAGCATCCCTCCAGTTTCTACAACTTATTGGGCATACCCGAGACGGGCACTTTGATTGAGATCAAACTAGTGTACAAGCAGATGGCCCGGAAGTACCACCCGGATGTATCCCCGCCGGGTCGGATGGAAGAGTATACTCAGCGATTCATTCAGGTACATGAAGCCTACGAAACTCTGTCGGATCCTGGAAGGAGAGCGTCGTACGATTTAGACATGGCTAAGGGACTTCATCTTGCATTCTCTACCAAGAGGCATTCGAAATTCGACGAGGTTCGTTCACTTTTTCGTATACCAATGGTCAGATTTATCATCATTGTCGGACGTGCTTAAAAATGACATTTTTAACTTATTTTTAAGCATGATCAAAGTATCAAACAAACTTGAGAGAGTTAAATTCACTGGTGGCCACCCAACTTTATAATTGGTGTCACCATGCCACCCAATTTGATTTATTTCACAAAAGCTATCCAATTTCATATAACACTTCACTACGACCTCTCAATTTTATATAACATTTCATCATAGTTACTCAACTTCTTTTTACTATTTTCATTAATTTTAAAAGGGATATTACGATAACTTTGCATTATATACATAAAACAAATTTAAAAAAAAAAACAAAATAAAAACTTATTTTATAAAAAGTTAATTAACAATAAAATAAAATAAAAACTTATTGAAAAAAGGTTTTTAAAATAAAATAAAAATTTATTT